CTAAACCCTAAACCCTAAAGTTAGGGAAAGTTGTGAAGAGACCGGCTCGGATCGCGGCTCCACAGGCCGGGGGCTCTTCTCCGTGCTGTTGTCCGATCGAGCCGTCTGGGAAACACCAATGGGTTTAATTTTGGGGTTTAGTTTAGGGTTTAGGATTGGGTTTACTAGTTCCGTGTTGGGGCTATATTGGAAATGATCAGTTTGAATCCTTATTGCGTTTTATGGCAGCAAACATGAAAAAAATTGTAGCCAACAAGGACCCACTTTAACTTTGGGGTTTAGGACTCTCACTCTCGCACGGGCCAGCAAGGCTCTTTTGAGGGTTTCCACTCTCACAACTCGGACAAGCCAGGCCAGGATTCATAGGTGCAGAGGCCGGCGTGATACATTGATGGGGGGATGCCTTTTTAGCGTTTAGGGTGTCGGGTTCCAAGCACCGGGGGCAACACACACGGCAGTTGTCCCCGACTGGGCCTGTAATCTCAGGGCTCGTGAATCGAAGACCTGATCCAGCGTGTACTGCTTCTTCTCACGCCTCAGCCGACCAGAACTGCAGGTTGAAGTTTACGGGGGGTACACGCTTCTGTGAGTGCAACAGAATTTCGCGCACGAGGCTGACAGCACAAAGAAACCATGGAGCAAAATTAGGGGCATCGCCCGTTGGTGATGCCCATGGTCTGTCCGTCTGAATATACCTCCACACCTGGGCTTTGGTCCAGGCAGATCAGCACGCGATGCGGACACACCGCAGGCAAAGAAAGCCGTCCGTCCGGGGGGCCCACCGTCTGGCTCGGTATTTTCCTTGGGTAGCTTTGGCCGAATTCTGGCAACCACCACCACGGAGGCAGATGCGACGGCCTGGGTCTTAGTCAAAGGGTTCTCCAGTGGCCTGTCGGCATGACACTATGCACCATGCCTGATCACCTCCAGCATCCAAATTCGCCCCCTGTCAGGTGCGCAGCTCTGCGAGGAAACACAAGCGACGGCGAGCCGTGACACTTTCAAATTTTTATCAGGACTAAACCACAACGAGCCGGAATCACACGTTTGCTAATTTTCTCTGGATCCTTCCAATTTTATTGATGATCCCGGAGGCCGGAATCACCCTAAACCCTAAAAACCAGCCTCCAAAGTTGATCGACGGTTCATTGCTCGCCGGGCAGGTACTTGCTGGAGAACATTTTTTGCCTCAGTCGCGAAGTCTGGCCCATCTGACACAGACCAACTACTCGCCGAAGTCCAACAAGACGCCCAGAGGAATCCAGGGTTTAGGGTTTAGGGCTTAGGGTAGTATAGCACAACTACCAGTGGGTCTACTATTTAGGTTAGTGTCTTCAAACAAGGCATATTGACAGCTTGTTTTCCATAGCAACCATCCAAGCAGAAGTGCCGGAAGAGTAGAAGCTCGATTCAGCTGCCTCCTCATCCTCACAGGGTGTTGAACGTCGGCACTTCTCACACGAGCATCAAGACGTGTTGCCCTAGCTGGGCACTGGTTTCCCCGCCTGGCACTCCCCGGCCTTTCCCGGCTAATCTCCTATAGTCCTACAGAAGAAGCTGAGAAATCAGAAATGGCAACGGGCACACCAAACCGTGAGCCGCAAGCTCACGCCTTCCCTCATGTCCAGTGTCTTGTGCCGTGCCTGTGCACTTTGGGGATGCCAAAAAGCTTTTCCAGGTCTGCAGGCAGGTCAGGTGTGTCGAAGCAAGTGGCTAACAGCAGTACATCAAACAGTCAGTCGAAGCTATCCCGACAAAGAAGGCGAAGGACCGTGACTGCTGATACTTTGGCACTGCAGTGCAATCAATGTCCCATGCTGATGGGGCAAACTGCACACTGCCGCACGGCATACTCTGCCCTCACACATGAGCGCGCGCCAAGCGCCTGTCAGGGTCTGGGCTTCAATCCTACATTCGAAATCCCTGGTTCCATGGCTTAAGACCATGCGTCCGAAAGAAGAGGCAGCGCCCCAAGCAGCTCTCCACGTGGAAAAATGCTAGAAAGCTGCGCGGCGCGGTGGCATGCACTTAGCGTCTCTTTTGTCGGCGTGGCGGGGTCGTCTTTGCCATTTAATTGTGGCTACAACCCCAGCCTTGGCCAGCCAGCTGAAGCACCACACGAGCCGGAATGCATAGAAAAAAAATTCAGGGTATATCGTAGTATAGATATACTGGGGCAGTTTAAGGAATAGTAGTTACGAGTAGTACTTGTTGCTTCTATATAATACTGGAGTTGAATCGAGTTGGCTGGCCACCCATGAGCGGAAGGAAGGGCCGTACTTCGTTGTGACAGCCCTCCGTTCTGAAACGGGCTTAAGGTTTAGGGTTTAGGGTTTAGGGTTTAGGGTTTAGGGTTTAGGGTTTAGGGAAGAATGCCTACCCCACAACCACTTTGGGTTGCATCATGCCAGCGCGCCTGTCTTCGGCTAAGCGGGCGTCTGGGAAAACGGCCTGTACAAGTGAAAGATGCTGAAGTGGATCTCGTCTTGGAATCGCGGTCGGCACTATGGCGATTCTGACACTAGCATAGTATGGCGACCTTTGAAACTCATAATGTGCAAAGCAGACTAACATCAAATTGGATCCCACCGACTTTTGTCAATCTCCAGCTCAGCCAGCGCGGCAGCCGCGGCGCGCCGGACGCCTTCATCCGCGTGCTCCAGGCACTCGCAGGCTACCAGGGAAGCCTCGGATCTGCGGGCATATCCCCGTGCATGTTTGGCTTTCTACATAGGTTGCCCATAACTTTTTATGTAGGAAGGGAGAGTGCAGAAGAGCACAGAAAGAAAGCGATAGTCAGGGAGGGACCAGGGTGGGGAGGAAGTGAGGGAGGGGAGGGGAG